AAAATATTAATATTATATATAAATTATGTATAAATATATATACAGTATATTCATGCAAATATTTCTTAAATATATACATGCATGTGTATATTTATATATGCAAAATAATTATACACACTACACAGTACACACATATATTATGTAACATGTGACTAATCGCAATTAATCACAATTAATCTTTGCACAGCCCTAATATATATATATATATATATATATATATGTGTGTGTGTGTGTGTGTGTGTGTGTGTGTGTGTGGTGTCAAATCGATCTTACATAAACAAATATGCATATACTGTGTGTCTATATGTTTTCAAAACCCTGTTGCAAAACAATTTCTCATATCATCCATTCACTTCAACAGTTTACTGAGAGAATATCTCCACAAAAGACACTTATCGGTATGACTTATATCAAGACTCAAGATGATGCCAAACATTCCCTCTTATGAACAATTCCCAACGAGTCCCAAATGCAAGGCTTGTTCAAGAGGGAATATCACCGAAACACCTCTGAGGATTAATGGCGATACAGGAACTGCTGTATGAAATGATGTAATTTGAGAGCAACCAAAGCGACAGCCATAAGCCACAGACCCCAGCGAAAACATCATCTGACACGGCCAGATGCTCCGCTACAGACCAACACAGACAAAGAGGGTCATAAATCAACTGTCAGCCGCAGATACCCCCCTCTCCTAAACTTATTCGTCCGCTGGTCAATACGAGCAGTCGCGCTGCGTTCAGGGGGGTCTCGGGTTAGAGGAATAAAAAAATCATTTTCCAGGGAGAAGAGTTTGAACTTGAAGCTTTGATGCATGTGAAGTTTTGGACATGTTAAAGGTGCTGCAGACCTGATTATTTCCCACCTTTTCTCTTTCACCCGTCCTAGTCTAAGGATCTCGCTGGAGTCCAAGTTCAAGAGTGGGTGAGGGGCCCTCGGGGGACGCCATAGACACCACGTCCCGCAGGGGCCACAGGGAAGAATAACAAAGACCATCACAGCGTGCAATAAACAGCGTCTGACTGGATTCATAAATGAGTTAACAGAGATGTCTTGTAAATATTTCAAATGTTAACACATCCAGAATATGCACCCGTACCAGATAACAGCACAATTAACTTAAAGGCTACAGACTTAATGCTCTGAATTTCACATTTATAGCTTTGCTTCGGTTAGGCAAAATAACTTTTAGATGGGTGTTTTGTGAGACAAACAGATGCACATTTCATGATTAGAATTCGTGCAACTCATTAATCAATGCATTTTTAAACTCAATCAGTGCAAAATGCAAGAAACCCATATGGAATGATAAAAAAAAATGACTATTGCAATGACATGTTCAATATATATGGGGTTGGGAAGATTGTTTTATGTTTTTGAAAGAAGTCTCTTCTGCTCACCAGCCATTTATTCGGTCAAAAATACAGCTAAAACAGTAATAATATTAAAATTTTAAATGTTTTCAACTTGAATATATTTTAAAATGTAGTTTATTCCTGCACTCTAAACAATGCTGGGTTGTTTTAACCCAAAATTGGGTAAAATATGGACAAACCCAAATGTTGGGTTAAAAATGCCATTTAAAATTTCTTAACTTTCACTTTCAACTGTCCATTTTTTAATTGCATTTTTAACCCAACATTTGGGTTTGTTCATATTTGACCCAAATTTGGCTTGAAATAACCCAGCGTTTTTTAGAGTGTGTGATCAAAGCTGAATTTTCATCATTACTCCAGTCTTCAGTGTCACGTGATCCTTCAGAAATCACTCTAATATGATGATTTGCTGCTCAAGAAGCATTTCTGATTATCAATATTGAAAACAGTTGCGCTGCTTGTGGAAACCATGATGCATTTTTAAACTCAATCAGTGCAAAATGCAAGAGACCCATATGGAATGATAAAAAATGACTATTGCAATGACACACCGTTCAATATATATGGGGTGGGGTCGGAAAGATTGTTTATGCTTTTGAAAGAAGTCTCTTCAGCTCACCAGCCATTTATTTGGTCAAAAATACAGCTAAAACAGTAATAATATTACAATTTCAAATCTTTTCAACCTGAATACATTAAAAAATGTCGTTTAATCCTGCACTCTAAACAATGCTGGGTTGTTTTAACCCAAAATTGGGTAAAATATGGACAAACCCAAATGTTGGGTTAAAAATGCCATTTAAAAATTTCTTAACTTTCACTTTCAACTGTCCATTTTTTTAATTGCATTTTTAACCCAACATTTGGGTTTGTCCATATTTGACCCAAATTTGGGTTCAAACAACCCAGCATTGTTTAGAGCGTATTAGAATGATTTCTGAAGGATCACATGACACTGAAGACTGGAGTAATGATGAAAATTCAGCTTTGATCACACACTCTAAAAAATGCTGGGTTACTTCAAGCCAAATTTGGGTCAAATATGAACAAACCCAAACGTTGGGTTAAAAATGCAATTTCAAATTTTTAACTTTCACTTTCAACTGTAAATTTTGTAATTGCATTTTTAACCCAACATTTGGGTTTGTCCATATTTGACCCAAATTTGGGTTGAAACAACCCAGCATTTTTAGAGTGTATGATGATTTGCTGCTCAAGAAGCATTTCTGATTACCAATATTGATGCTTGTGGAAACCGTGATGCATTTTGTTATTTAAAATAGAAATATTTTGCAACATTATCATTGTCTTTACTGTCACTTTAAAGCAATTTAATGCATACTTCATATAAAAAAAAACATTCAAACGAGTATTAACACATACACAAATGTTTTTGCGTCCTCCTCACATGCAAATTGCTTCTACAGACTAAAATCATGTACTAGATTTGGAATGGGTCACAATAAAACAATATACTCCAGCTTCCCCCTACAAGTGAGCCTGTTATATGCTGTGGAAGCATCGCTGCATTCATGTGGCATTAAATATGACTCGAACCGTCACAGGCTGCAGGTGAGAACATCAATAACCTGAACCAGGTGTGACCTATAGACTAACTCCAGAAACAAAGAAAAACTCTGATGTGCAAATTTGAGGCTGTGCGCTCACTGCTGGTGTGGTTGTCAAAGCCACTTTTACCAGCTGATTCATAATGACAGATGGATTTAAACAATGTCAAGAGCTGAAACTTGTTCAGTATTTAAAACGAAAAGATCAGCTAATTCACAAAAGCTCTTTGTCCTGTCCTAGAAACATGACTCCTCCCCATCAAAACGTTCAATATTCAGATCAGCGATCGATCAATGTGTTTCTCAGGCACTGATTCTTTAACATTTAATCTCCTCAATCCGGTTACTCTTATGATTCATCACCCTAGTAGACATATTCTGAGCACAATCCAGACAATAACCATCTGATATTTGTCCAGATGAGCTCTCCGTGAAAACATGTTTGCTCTCCCTGTCCATGAACGGGCTCAGGGTTTGGATAAACTCGATATCTCGGAGCGTTTTGTCCATCTGTATTCAAAATAATAAAGAATGAGAGAGACCCTCCAACAACAGCCTATGGAGCCCTTCTTTGGAAAGGCTTGAATAACAATCGGCCACACACACACACACAGACAGATCTGATTCCTCTCCGGCTTGGCTTGGCATGCTCTTGTCATTTCTTATGTTACAGAACATCAATCATAGGGCTGAGTCTGTGCCCTTGCGCTGGCCGAGGCTGATTTACAAACATTAGCAGGGAATGCAATTACACAGTCCGAGAAGCGCGAACAGTCAGCGAGCGTTCTGGTTTTGAAGCGTCACAAGTGGCGTGGATGGAGCGTTCACACTGCGGTTGGAACGAAACCGGAGCGCGCGGTTAAATACGACATTGTATCATGCACACAAAAATACTAGCAATAGCAAACTATTTTTATTAAAACTTGACTATCTCTTCTAGTGAAAAGTCGAATTAAAAGGCTTTATATACATTCACACACACATATACATGCAAAACTTGTGTTAAGAAATATAGAAAACGTATTTAGTTTTTTTTTTTTTTTAAGTTTTTCAAATACATATGAACCCAACATGAACACAAAGATTGCATTTCTAATAAAATTACCCATATGTTTGAAACTAGATTTTTCTTCATTTTAATACAATATTATTTGACATTGACCCTGAAATCATAAGTCAATATCGTTAATGAATCAGCCTATACACACCAACATCACATGCAAGGTTGAATTTTGAACGTTTGAATACATATGTTGTTCTTAACTAACATTTTTTTCTTAAGTTTAAAGCCATTGCGAAAGCATAGGAGACATCTTTAAAATAAAACTTATTTTTTTCTACTTTTTTACGAATTCTGCTGCTGACAGCTGGCGACGAATGCATACAAGGCATAACATAACACGAGCACATTTAAGTAAATATGCATTTTATAGCAGGAATACTTACTATTCAGTCGTGTCACGATACATAAAGACGTCAATAATAAACTTTGCTATAACAGAAACTCTGATGGTGCGACGTTCATTACGCTCCATGTGATCAATACTGAAGAAGCACACTAATAAAGTCAATACGCGAGTGACAGATACATACAATCAACATTAAAGGTCTAAAATACATGAGATGTTTATTTCATAAAGTCTGAGGTGAATCACAAACCGGCACTTGACAAAACGAGCCGCGCGCGCGCGCCTCACCGTTCCTTATTTCTATTAGAATAAAACACATTAGGCTGATAAAAAGTTAAAGTCCACAACTCGGAAAGGCATTAAAAGTTTCTGTTTCCAACGAAGCTCGTGTGCGAAGCGTTAAAATAGCGTTAAATGTGGTGTTAAAGCCCGTTGGTGTGCGCGAGGCTGCAGCCGCTGCTCTTGCGCGCTCCTGATCAATGATTGAACCGAACAAAAGGCAGAAGAGGATCAATTACTAATAACTATCAATGCAACACCACCATCCCGTCCCTCTAAAGTCCCCAAAAGAGAAAATGCATGAAATGCAAGGTGCATTAGCGCGTATAGGATCGTATCGTGTAAAAAAGGTGAGAAATAAGACCAACCTGAAGCCGCCGGAGATCAAATTTCTTCCAATATTGAAACATCGATCCCACATCGGCGGCCATCTTGAGCACAATATTCAAGAGCGGCTACAATAAATATATGGGCTGGATTCCCCCCGTTAAACAGCGTTGACGATTACACTCCACATGGAAAAAAAAATGTTAGGAAAATAACAGTTGTGGAAACCTAGACGGGACGCGCAGCGCGCGAGAGCCGGCTGATGCGATATGATGAACAGAGTATAGATGCATATAGATGCATTAGTGCAGCTCCCTGGATTGCACTTGATTTTGGGTTTGGTAAAGTTATCAATACTGACGTAACGGGTTGATCAATAACGTCTGGGAAGTGGAAGGAGAACAACGAGCAACCAATGCGCATCGCCAGATGTTTGATGCGTAAAACGGTGAAATCATTACATATCATTAATGAGCCCATATAATTTGCAACTTTAAGTCAATAATGCGAAATGCATGCTGTAATTGCAATGAATAGAAGAAAACAAAAACACTGAATGGATGAAAGCTTTTTTGTTTGTAGTGAATATATATTTTAATAACGTCCGTCCTTGTGAATAATGAAGTGCTGAATAGTATTTATTGCACGAAGATCGGCGTTATTGAATAGTGCTGTCGCTTATTAAAAACTCTTATGCTTTTTAACATATTTTTTAGTAGATGATGTAAACTGCAAACAAAAAAAAACAAGTTAGATGTGGTAAATATTACTAAAGCGGCATGAAATGCACAAGCTTGAACAAAAAGTGAAAGTTTAGTCTATAAGCAGTTAGTTTATGAGATTCATGGAGCTGCAATGTGTGGAATTTCAATAAATACCAGGAATATTTATTAGTGACTTATCTATAACATTTTGTTAACGAGTGCAAATGCAAAGGTGTTTTCTCTTATATATGCTATTTTGTGTGTTTGAATGCGGTTGAATAAAAAAAAAATGCATTGGGAAAAAAGCATAAATGTTATAGTGGGATTGTGCGACCAATGCATGATTTGAAATTCTGAATGGACAGTTGTGTTCAAACGTTAACACGTGCTCCCTCTTGTGGATCAGGACCATGTAGCCCGTACAATGAGGACTATATCCTGACATTAATGTAGCACATTTTGTCCAAATCACATCTTTATAATTATAACATTGGTGTAACATAAAGACGACCATCCAGAGCCAAGATTTCCCCTAAAAATAACTCACTTTGACCTTTCCCTGTAAGAAAGTTTCGTTAACACATTGTGTGTAATGACTATAACTAAAGACTAAAAAAAAAGCCAACCTTTTGGTAAACCTTGTTCACATGACTACAAAAAGTCTGTGGATTTATGTTTGTGTTTAGAAAAGGCCGTTTGACATGTGCATCTGAAAGGATTCCAGATATCAGTAGAATAATGTCTTGAAATGAAACTGTTTAAGAGGTTAACTGCTCCGGTGGATTGTGGACTGCGAGCAATTACTACTGAGCACATCTGTCATTCCTCTCTTCGCCATTAAAACCAAACGCAAGTCTATTTTTAAGTAGAAATGTATTTGCACTTTGTAAGCCACCTACGGGGAATATAAAAGGTGCTTATTAAAAGTTTCTGTTTTATTGCTTTTTATTTATTGCTTCAGGGGGGAAAATAACTGCGTCGGTTTTATAAGAAAGGAATAATATATCTTGTGTTGATGTGGCTCACTGTTAAATTTGAAATTTAAATCAGTTCTGATATACAAGCTTGATGCACCAACACTTATTACTTTTGTTCAAATCTAAATATGCGGACATTTTGAGGGTGCAAAGACTGTTGGATTATTGAGAACAGAACAGTGGGAGGTTTTCACAAACCACTGTAAGCAGAGCAAGCTGTGAGGTTTTGTAAAAAATAAAAAATAAAAATAAAAATACTGTTTAGTCTAACATCTGAGACAAAAAAAATTGGCAAAAATGAACGTTAAAAAAAATAAGCTCAACATGTATCTAAATAAAGAGGTGATCGAGCCTTTAGAGTGCATTGGTGTGTTTGGATTGACGTTGTGTATGCAGTGGCCTAGATACACATAAAGCTTGGCAATAATATCATAATTCCAGGAATATCGGTGAGAGCTGCTGAACTCTGATATATTGACCCACTCTGGAGTGTAAAGGCCTTGAAACAGAAGCTTGGTGAGATTGCCACCAGGTGGCTGGAGTGATTTAGCATCACATTATTCCTCACGACCGAAAACTACAAACTAGAAAGGTTTTAATGACGACCTATTATGCCCTTTTCAAAGTCTTGCTTTTGTTTTTGGGCTCTAATAGGTTTTAATGCTTGAATTGAATGTTCAAAATACACAATACATTTCATTTTTGCAGAATTTCAAGCTCTCTTCCAAAGCAGCATTTAGTAAAAAAAAAAAAATGCTTCTGTCTCTTAGGCTGCATCTGATATCCCATAACCTGCTTCCCTATGTAGTAGGCAAAAAACAGTATGTAAACAAATAAAGAAGTATGTCCGAATTCACAGTACTCAGTAGACACTAAACTATCCCATGAGGCCACAGGAGAGGATTTATGAATGGTCATAAAGCAACACAACTAACGCTGACAGGTCACATGATAATGACAACATGGCGGATGTAGGCTAGTACGTCCCAATTACATTCATACTATATAGAACATACTTTTATAACGGTTGAGAAGTAATTACTTATTCAAAATAAGTATCTCAAGAGTTCGCGATTTCCATTCCTTTCCTTAGATTTACGTCATTGCTTACGAGTTTACGTCGTTGCTTATTGTTTTTGTGGCTTCGGTCTGCGCAAGCAGAAGTGATCTCTCACGTGTGTACGTCACTCATTGTTTACACAGAGATTTCAGAAGTGTTACCCTTCACTTCGAAGATCTAAACATTTATTTATACGTAAAATTGCAATGGAAGACGATTTCGATATATCAACAGACAGCGTTGATTTTTTTTTTACTTGCGCAGACCGAAGCGCCCACGCCCTCAAATCACTTGGAAGTGACTATGGTTACAAGAGGTAAAAACGATATAAATACTGTTCGTTTTCTCACACAAACCGCTCGTTTTGTGTCTTAGGCCATCAATGTGTACTTGCATTTGCGAGTCATTAAATCATGTTTAATTTGGACTTCTCTGTGCATGCTCTTTGAGGTGGTGACCAGTGTTGTAGTACTCGAGACTCGGACTCGTCTCGGACTCAGTCTCGAGACCATATTTTAATGGTCTTGGTCTTGTCATGGACTCGTGTCCATTTGGACTCGGAATTGACTCATACTCGAACATTTTTTTCTTTTTAGGACTCGGAATTATTCCCGAGTCCACTCGAGTTCAATTCAAAATATTTTTCATGATTATTAATGTATGTTAATAAAATATTTCTTTAAATTGATTGACACGCCAAGTGATTGGTGATTTTCTAGTGCGCAACTGCGCATTACCAATTGTAATAAAATTACTTTTAACACCACCTACTATGTGGCCTTTTTACCCTAAACTGATCATATTTTTTAAACTCTAAGTAAATTCAGTAAAAAAAAAAAAAAAGGATTTCTCTAAGTAAATAAAAGTAAATTAGGTAATCAACCCTCACTGGTCTCGGTCTCGACTCGGACTCGACCGTCTCTGGTCTCGGACTCGACTCTCTATGGACTCGGTCTTGACTCGGACTCGACTCTCTCTGGTCTCGGTGTCGACTCGGACTCGAGTGAGGTGGTCTCGACTACAACACTGGTGGTGACCATAGACCTCCATTATATGACTGACAGACAAGAACGGTTTGACCTAAAAATATCAAACTTGAAACTACTGCGGAAACAAAGACACCTACATCTTGGATGCCCTTGAGGTAAGCTAAAACATACCAGCTAACTAGCTGCCCTTGAAAATTATTAGCATAGCATTAAACTAGGAAACATAATTGATGGACACTTTTTGATAGAATATGGTACCTACATTTAGGCAAGGCTACACTCTTGAAATGGTTCTATTTAGAACCAGAAATGGTTCCATTCCCCGCTTCATATATGGAACTATATAGAACCATTTTTTGGGTAAAAGGTTCTATTGGCCAAGTATGGAACCCCAGGGTTCTATATAGAACCCAGAGGAACCTTTTTTTAAGAGTGTATAGAACCTTTTAGGGGTTCCAAATATGTAGCGCTGATAGAACCTTTAAAGGTTCTATATAGAACCTTTTCTTCTAAGAGTGTATAACTCAAGGGCTAGGTGTATCACTGTTTTTTTCTATTACTTTCTAAATGTATAGTTTAGTTTTTGTCTATGGTCGTGCTATGTCATCCTTTCATTCCATTTAGTTGTACGAGTACTGCTTTATTTTTCAGATGGATTATGTGTGTGTTAATCATAAATAGTATGAAATGAACCTACAAAGAGTGAGAAACAGTCTTACAGATAAATGCCGCTGTCAATCATACATTCAGGAAAGTTCTAGCTGTTTTCCAACAACTGTTATCCGTCTGTCGAAGCCCATTGGCTCCTGTATTAAATCCCTTAAATCAGAATTCTTATAATAACTTCTGAAGTCTATCGGCTTGGTTAAGCACAATGGAGGATGTATTTATAGACAGTCAGAGGTGGAGAATGGGCTTATATAAAATCAGCATTTCCACCCTGTTTGAAAACACTTGTGCTTTGTTTCCTGAACTCAAGGGTTACGATTATGGTGAGTTTACATTTATTCATTCATTTATTCTGCTTTATATGTTCAGCAGACATGTACTGTAACTCACTATTGTCTTGATGCATCCAAACGAAGATCTAACCTGTCTGTCTGTGTTTGAAACTAAAGTTTAAGTCTGACGCATAAATTCACTTTCAACAAATAAATAAAGGAAAAGTAAACTGTTTCTGTTCTCAAAGATAGATAAAAACATTTAAATCGAAAACCGGAGACACGTGATTGATCCATTTATCGCCATTTGCTTTAGATCAGAAATGAGATCTCTTTAATGTTTCAGTTCACTTCTAGACAAAAATGTTCAAAACGCTCAATGTTTTTCTCCTATGAAAAAGACCCAAATATCTCCTCTAAAGTTTCAGAACAAATCTCAGCAATGGCTCCAACTGTGACCAGGTTTTGCAAAAATGTTATATATATAAAACATAATGCAGTTTCATGTAGTTTTACGTGTAGTATTTTCAAAGTATTTTGCAATAAACAGCATAAAAATCAATCCAGAGCAAA